TTGGCACATGAGGAGTGGGAGCAAGTGGACAGGGCTTTGTTTCTCAGTGGGCGCATCTACATGTTCATTAATGTGCTATAATTAAATTTAATATCTGTAATCACAGGTATTAACTTCATGCACCATAATCGGCACTACCATGCATTAGTGCAGGCACATGCTTTTTAAGTGATACTAATGCACAGTAGACTCATTCTGCTATGCATTAGCATGTTGCTTTCATGCTGCGCTAATGTGCAGTAGCGTCTTATGTAGATGTGCCCAGTGATGCTCTCAAGGGCACTGGGGGAGCGGCCAAGACGCACTTGTATTATCTGCTACACAGCAAGCAATGAAAAGGTTAAATCTCCAAATAGTCTGCATGCTTTGCACTTACCTAAAACTCATAGCTTTCCTCAAACCTTAGGCAAATCCAGCTGCCTCACACACATCCCGCAAGGCCACTGACTTGGACTGAGTGCCCCTGCTGCTCTTCCTGCTTCCCTTGGGGCTTGTCAACATGAAAACACCCAGCTACAATAAGGCAATTCAACTGAAGGCGGGAAGTGGATTGCTTGTTCAGTGGCCTTACACAAATGAGACTTTAATCCAAAGAGGTGTCTTAAATGTGGGTACCTCAGTGTTAAGGTATCCAACCTGATCCATCTAAAAGCCCCTGATTATTCAAGACGCTTAGCAGAAGCAATTTCTGTTGAAGGCAGTGGGAGCTTTGAGTAGTCAACATTTCTGTTAATCAGGCCCAGTGGGCACCAGCCTCAATTTGATACATAATCGTGTGCCTCAATCAAGGTACATAATCCTTGGATCTCTCAAGTGTATATTAACAACCCTTGCAGCAGCAAGCCACTGACCACCACTGCTGACCTGCTTTACCGGTGGCAGGCAAGGCTAGCATACCTTGTAGATGTACACAGGGTTGATTGTAATCATTTCAGTAACAGGGCAGACAAGGATTGGATTGGGATTTCTTGGACAGGGATGACTGTGCCTTAGGCAAAGGGTTGGACTAGTTGACCTCTGGAGGTTCCTTTCAGCCCTGCTTTTGTATGATTGTATAAAAAACCCTACCACAGTAGCAGATGAGCACCTCCCAAGCATTAATTAGTTTCTTATTAGATCATTAACCAGTAACCATTAATAAATAAGCAGACACTTTCAATTTGTGGTTTAGGAATATCATCTGCCAGCAGAGGCCAACCCAAGATGTTCAGAAGAAAGGCAAAACCTTACATAATGCCTCTCCCTGATTGTGCATAGAGGAAGGAGTCCTTCTCAATGCCTGCAGCAACTGGTTTATGTCCTGAAGCAGGAGATCTGATTATCTTCAGTATGCAGAGCGCTGAATGCTATTGTTAGCCATAAAATCATTCAGGCTTAAAAAAATAGAATAAAATAAAATAAAATAAAAGTCCCAGCTGCAATCGTTTGATTCCAGCAGCACAGACTCAAGGAAACACTGCCCTTTACTGCTTCTAAATGGCAGTGTCTCCTTTACAGTGCAACTATTCCTCTGCCAGGTCCTAGGCTCAGCTTACGTTAAGCCTCTGCACTGAAGCGCCTCTCTACCTACCACCATTTCAGAGGGGTACTGTCCATTTAGATGGGGCTCCAACTCATCAGAAAAAGGATTTTACAAATTATATGGCAGGGCCAAATTTGATCCCAATAAAGCCAGTGAGACCTTTCATTGACTTGGAAGCTGCAGGATCAGGCACATCATTCCCTAAGGCAGGGGTGGGCAATTATTTCAGCTGGATGGCCACTTAACAAGTTTTGGTGAGCTGTGGAGGGCCACATGGGTAGCTCTGCCCCTTGACAGGTGCCCCACTCCCTGGTCACCATCTTGGAACCAGAAGTCCCGCCCCCAAACCCCTGACTTTTGCCACCAGAAGTCCCTCCCCTTGCCCCAGAAGGACTCCTTTTGGGGGGCTTGCCATCTTAAAAGTGGAAAAAAAACAAATCATATACTAAAAAAAATCAAACATCTACTATAACTTACTTTAATTTTATTAAAAAAAATATTTTTGTCCTGATTTATGTGGGTTTGCATCATGTATCTAGAGGTGATTGCACCATAGCTCAAAATACAGTCTTACTTTTGTATATTGTTGTGGGGGGTAAGTGGGTGCATGTGGGGGTTGTGTGTTTGGGCCGTGCATGTGAGGGTATGGTGGAGTGTGAGGGGTGTGGGTGTGCAGTGTGGGTATGGTGGGTGGGGTATGTAGGGGAGGGTGGGTGTCAGTGTAAGGTATGTGGTTGGGGATATGTGGGAGGATGTGGGTATGGTGGTGGGGGTGGGGTGGGAGTGTGTGGGTTCTGTGGGAGGGTGTGGGTGTGTTTGAAGGAATGGTGGGGGATGGGGTGTGTGAGGGTGTGTGCATGGATCTGGGGTGTGTGGGGTTATGATGGGAGGTGGAAGTGTGTGTGTGGGCTGTGGGAGGGTGTGGGTGTGTGTTGGGGATATGGTGGGAGGTGGGGAGCCAGCCCCATCCATCCCATCCCAGCTGCAGTGTGTAGTTTCCGGCTGCAAGGCCAGGATGGTGCAGCATGGGGCCAGCCCGGCCCATCACGACATAACACAGTTCCAACTCTGTTAGTCAGTCCTGGCTATGCAGCTAGGACCACGTTCTCCTGGGCCGACCTGGGCTGGCCCTGTGCCATGCTGTGTGGGTTCCAGCCTTGCAGCCTGGAACCGTGTGCCACAGCTGGACTGGCATGGGTCAGGCCAGGCTGGCTCTGTGCTGCGCTATGTGGGTCCCGGCCTTGCATCCAGGAGCCGCATGTTGCCAGGATGGGCCAGGCCAGTTTGGCTCCATGCTGTGCCACATGGGTCCTGGGTTTGCAGCTGGGAACAGCATACCACAGCTGGGTTGGAATGGACTGAGCTGGCTCTGTGCTGCTCCACGCAGGTCTCAGGGTTGCAGCTAGAACTACGCTCTTTAAGGCTGGGCCGGGCTGGCCTCATGCTGCGTCGAGTGGGTCCCATCCCAGCTGCAGCGTGCAGTTCTTGGCTGCAAGGCCATGACCTGCACAGTGTAGCACACAGCCAGCCCAGCCCAGCCCAGCCTGTCCCGGCCTGGCTGTGGCACGCAGTTCCCAGCTGCAAGGCTGGAATGCACACAGCACGGCACAAGGCAAGCCCAGCTCAGTCTGGGAGAATGCAGTTCCAGCTGCACGGCCATGACCTACATGGCACAGCACAGAGACAGCCCTGCCCATGCCATCCTGGCTGCAGTGTGCATTTCCCAGCTCCATGGCTGGGACCCACATGATGTAGCATGGGACCAGCCCAGACTGGTGGTATACTAGAGTGCCAGGAACTGTGGGAAGTCCCACGCCATCAGGCTGGACTGGCTCTGTGCCTCCATGTGGTGTTAATGGCACTCTAGCCAGGGATGGCACATGAATGCACAGAGCCAGAGTCCCGTGAGTCCCATGGAGTGGGGCCATCACCAGCAGTCCATCCCACCCTCCCTCCCAGCCCATTCTTACCTGAATTTCCACTCTCAGATGGAGGGAGGGCTTGGGAACAGCCACAGGGTTGCCAGGGCAGAAGCCTCTGCTAGGCTAAGGGGTGGGGCAGGTCAGGTTGGGGTTGGAGTTGGTCACGTCAAACCAGAGCCCAATCTGCTTGATGCTGCAGCTGGCAGCTCCTGCAGCCAGAGGCTCCTGTTGCCAGCACCTTGTCAGATAATAGTTGTCTAAATTTTAGAGGGACCCCGCAGGCCACATAGAATGCCCCCCACGGGCTGTATTTTGCCCACCTCTGCCCTAGGGTTTGCCAGGGGCCAGATCCTTGGAATTTTCCTATTCCAGGGAGCCAGATGAAAAGCTCATTAGCTTTAAAAAAAAAGATTTTAATTGTAATCCCCAGGGGTTAATAACCTGTAGCTGTTGCATTACTATGCTGTGGTAGCTGAGATAGTCCAGGGAACATCTGAAAAGCAAGGTTCGCTTGATCATATCTTTTATTGGACCAGCTACAATGTGGGGAGAGAGGTGATACAAGCTTTTGGGCACCGAATGTCAGAGCTGGGGAAAGGCATTTGGGCTGCTTACAGATGTAAAGAAAAACAAAACAGCGCATTACTTCAAACTCGACATGGCCCCGCACCGAGCCCAGTGTATGCCCAGAAGAGGCATCACATTAGTTGGACCTGGCTCACCCAACGTCTATATAGACTGGGTGCTTTTGCAGGGGTTTTTTGGCACTTTTATTTAATAGCTGATTGAATTGACTATCAGATAAAAGTGCCAAAAAACCCTGCTGAAGCACGCGGTCTATACAGATGCTGTGGAGCTGGGTCAAACTAACACGCTACTTCTTCCAGTAAAGCATGGTTTTTTTGTGCATTTTTTACATCTGTCAGCAGCTCTCTCCCCACTGTATAATTGCTCCAGTAAAAGATATAACTGAACACGCCTTGCTTCCATGGGGTTGGTAGTGGAATTGCCAAGCTCAGGCCTTCAGTATCATGGGTCAGGCCTCAGAAAGATCATTTGAATTGGCTTTTTTTTTTAACTTGGGTTCTTTTTATTTGCTGTCTGGTCTCTAAGCCTTTGGGGCATGCTCAGATCATGTCCTTAAGCTTCTCTCTCCTCAGGCAAACTGGAAGCCTGATGTATTTTAAAATGAAAGCTGAATTTCTCATACAATATTGTCAGTCCAGCAACTGGGATTCTAAAAGAAAAATCCCAAATATCTTGAGTCTCATGTTCAACTCATGAGAGATGGCAATGCTGCAGTCACTGCGTAAGAGAACAGGTGTTCCCGAGTGTTTTAATCCTACTCATATAACCTCAATGCCCCTAGAGCATATGGCCTCACAGAAGGCAGCATATGAAGCCCAGTGAAGCCAATGGAGGGCTCCCATTGATCTCAGTAGGCATTTGATCAGGACCACATAGAACATTTCTCTTAGAGAGATGCCATTCATGAAATCATTTATCATGATGACATACAAAAAAAGAAAATAAAATCCTGTAAATATCAGCCTGGTTTCCCGGGAAGGGGTTGTTTTCAGTGGAGACAGCCATTCTTAAAGCAATACCATAAATCCTGAAACATCACTTGTTGGGAAATCCATTAGGCCAACACACCTGGCTTGTGAACATTTGTGATTAACGTAGCTCTTCCTTCCCTCCTGTTTTCTCTTCAAATGTCCCATTAGGATCTAAGCAGCAGTCAAAATAGAAAACACAAAACAATTAATGACCTGGAATTTAAACAAACCATTAATTATCCAGCTATCCCAGCAGATGATGACTCTAACAATGCTTATTACAGGAGCCTTCATCAAATCATCTGCTCTTTCATGTAAGAAGGGGTAACGATCTTAGCAAAACTGCAATGAGAAAATAATTAAAAGCCATATAACAAGATGTTTTATTAATGACATGCATTTCTACGTTGCTCTAAGAAAATTGGGAAATCTGTTCCAATGCCACAGCTTTCTGGTGGCGGGTTATATTTGCCGTCATTTTAATAACAACTTGTTAACCTGTTGTCTAAACCCCTTCCTTAGGCTTGTCATGGATCACGCGGGAAATCAGAAATCCTGACCCAAGCTAACACATATAGTCTTTTATCTATCAAAAACCGCAAGTGGAGAGCAGGTCCATGGAACGATGAGGCGTAGCAAAATAACAGCACTTGCAAAGAGGATTATTTGGGACCGGTCAATGTGCTAGACTAACACACAGAACCAGGATGCTTTATTTACTCCCCTGGGCAAGGCAACAACATAGGGATATCTTTTGAAGATTTTCATGCAGAAGAAAGAGTAACTTTTTCCCCCCAAAACAATGAGCTTAAAGTTGCTCAGGCTTTCTGTACCAGCCTGATTCTGCTCTCAGTAGAGGCAATGGCAGAACTCCTGTCAAATTCAATTGGAGCAAGATTAAGCCCTTGGTGAACATGGAAGGCTCCCTTCAGTTAATTTTATATGACAGCTGATTTCAGCAGAATTGCACCTGAAATGAATTTGGGTGCAAAATGTATTTTCAGCTCAAAGGTCATAGCTAGCTGTTTTGGGGCCCTGAGCAGAGGAGGGAGGCAGAAGAGGTACTGTGACAAGTGCCAGAGAGCGGGGGGGCATAGGAGTGGGCAGTGTCTTACATGCCACAGCATGGGCTTCCCCCATTCTGGTACCTCCTTTGCATCAGCGCTAAGGGCTGGTTATGCTACTGTATCTCCATTGCTTATGATAGCCATGTGTTTGGCATCCCTGAAGATGGAAGCCCTTTTCTGAGAATGACCGACAATGAAGCATGCCTCAGTTCCTGACACAGAAGAACCAGCTGTAGGGATGAGAGGGTTGCTCTTTTGTTTTCTCTGTTCAGTCCTCAAACTTTTCAGACACTGCTGCAAAGGAATAGCCATAGGTTTGAATGAGAAAAGCACCGAGCACCCGCACTGAAGTAAACAGAAATGGGGGATAGAGATCTGCTATATCCTTCTGCCATGGTTTCGTTGGCCATCAGGTAGCCACCCGCTCATTTCAACCACCTAGGGAAATTCGGGAATATCTTTCAGTGGAGGTTTTCAAGTAGAGGCTGCACTGCCATCTGAGATGGTTTAAGAATAGTTCATCCTGCATCTGCGCAGCAGGCTGGACAAGATATCCCTTGAAGTGCCTTCCAGTCCTATAACTCTGCATTGTGGCACTGAATGGTTATCGGGTGGTAATCCTGAGTACCAGGCTTTTGATCCACCCTGACCTGAGTTGGACGCAAGCTGGATGCAAAAGGTACAATTCTGCTTCCGGTGATGTGTCCTACTTCTTCTTCATATGGCTGACTTGGAGCAACAATATAAGTCTTTATAAGTTGGTTTAAGATTAGTTAACCAGTCTAATATTCTTGAGCAACAATTATGAGTCAGTTTAAGATCAGTTAACAAGTCTAATATTCTCGAGGAAAGGGAGTGTATCTCTGCAATGTCCCTGTCAAATTTGTATACTGGGCAGTGTTGTTATGTGGGCCATAGTTTGAGCAGGATTGCCAGTCATATTTTGCAGAGCTCCTAATACACCATTTGTGCCCTACTACAAATCCAGAGGAGCCCTGTTTACTCAGTAATTACATTTTTGTAACTAAAAGTAGCATTTAGCCCAGTTGGTTTCATAACAGGAGTAAGGACATGTGGGTTATAGTCCTAGCTCTACTACTCCTCGTATGACTGCAAGTCACTTAAACTGGTATTATTCAAGTTGAGTCTGAAAATGCAAAATATTTTGTTTTGTTTTTCCAAGAGAAAGCATGATGCTTTCCAGGGACAGCAGATACTTGCAACAAAAAAAGAAGCATGTATTCAGCAACTCAATTTTCTGTGAAAACACAGTTTTGACAGAAAAAAATTCTAACTGGCTCTAATATTTAATGTTTACCTGCTGTGTTTCACATGAATACATAGGGGATTTACTATCCTGTGTTCTGAATATGCTAGAGAAGTGAAAAATATTGGTAGTCATAAAAGGAGGTTGAGCACATATATCCTCAGTGATCTGTATTATTGTAGCTCAGCAATGATATCATAGATCACAGGAGGGCAGAAACCCATTTCAGTAGCTGTGTTTTACATCTCTAGAGCCGGGACAAACCGTTCTGTGCTTAGGGCACTGAACAGGGCGCAGGAGACGTTACTACTGTTCCCAGCTCTGCCAGGGACTCCATGGCTGCATCCACATGTGGTGTGGACGCTTGGTTTCCTGGGCACAACTAGCACCTTGTGCCACTGCTCCGTGTCCCCAGGGAACGGCCAGGCCAGGTATGCTTTGACGCGTGGCAAGTTACCCTGGGGGCACTAGGGGAGGCTGGGGTCAGGACTGGGCTGCTCCCAGCAGCCTTACCTGGGGGCCTCCTGGGGCTGCAGCAGCAGTGGTTCTGCCGCACGGAGCCTGGCGGGCAGCCACAGCGCAGCTCCGGGTGGCCCGGCTCTGCTTATGAGCCCCCACGTGCACTGCCACACTTTTTTTTCCATGGGCTTTTTTGAACGCTGAATATCCAGGGGTCAAAAAAACCCTCTGCACTGCTCCACTGCAGCACAGACAACTTCTGAACACACAATATGTGGCACCACAGATGTGTCTGCAGCACCACGTGCCACATGGCCACACTCATCTGGACACGGCCCCTGTGGGCATGTCTCCCGTGGCTCTCCTAAGAAGCAAACCCCACTTACCCAAGCTCACTCTCCAGGTGTCAAACCTGGAAATTAAATAGCAAAGCAACTCCCCTGCCAATGATCTCAAGCACCCTCGGTTCCAGGTTTGGTATTTTTATGGAAGTTCAATCCTAATTCCTTTCCTGAGCCATCTTGGCTGTTCTTTTCCCTGGTTCGGGTTGATCTTTGAATGCAAGAGTGGTCTTTCCTTATTTTAGGTGAATCTGGGCCTAGATCCACAAAGGGACTTGGGTACCAAACTACCGCTTGAGACAGCAAAGTTCAATACCTAGACCAGTGATTCTCAACCTCATTTGTCTCCAGAAACCCCTCAGTAGACTTAAAGCACCCTTCGGAAAATGCCAGCTCTTAGTTTTCACTTGGTTTTTGACTACAGAAAAACAATGGAATAATTCTTCTGTTGCAAAGACCAGAGAAAGGCAACAGCCTTTAGGAATGAGTTTAACACTATGGATTCCTATTTTGGAAATTAGGACCCAGGCCGCTCTGACAGCAACCAGGGGCCATGCCCAGGTGTAAGCACAGAAGCTGATGGAGTGAGGAGCTTGAGCTGAAAGGAGCTCAGAGTAATTCCTCAAAGGCAGAGCTACCCAAGAGGGACACCTTACACCAGAAAAGTCCAAGGCAGAAAAGGTCCACGACCTTCTCCTTTCATACCCAGTGAAACCCTTCCTCCACTGCACCTTGGGCAGCAGCATGAGCCTCAGATTTGGGTGGAATCTTCTCTTGTTCCTTGAGGAGCTTAACTGTTTATACACTTATCTCAAACGAAGGGTGGCTGTGAGTGGGTTCAATGGTGTTTAACTCATCTCACAACAATATCACGTATTCTGCAAAAGCTCCATCTGTATGGCTTGTCAGAAAGACAATGAACACAGGCATAAGTGGCTTGTGGAGAGCAACTTCTGGGTGCCACGGTCCTGTTTCACCCAGTAGAGAAAAGCATAACAAGAATGAGTGGCTGGAAGTTAAAACCAGGCAAATTCAGGTGAGATATACAGGCACACATCTTCTGATCACGAGGACTATTACAGGAACAAACAACCAAGGGAGACAGTGGATCCTCCATCTCTTGATGTCTTTGAATCAAGGCCAGATGTCTTTAAGGAAGATAGGCTTGAGTCAAACACAAATACAGAGCTCAGTGCAGTATACTACCTGATCTAACTGAGTCAGACCAGATGGTCTAATGGTCCTCTCATAAAAATCTAAGAATATGATCTACTACCTGCCAGGGTATTTGCAGGGCTTAATTTGCTAATGTTTGCAAGCCATTTTTATAGTGCTTCCTCACACCATCACAGTGCAAGTGATTTCCATATGCGGTGATGTTTGTTGCATGACTTGGAAAAATGAATAAAGATAAAAACGATCCAAGCAAGATTTACCAGAACTGTAAACTTGTTGCATTTCACACCTGTCGACATAGAAGATAAGCTGATTGGTAGAACTAGGCTGGATGTCTGGAGGAGTTGGAGTTCAGACCCAGCTCTGAACTACATGGTAGATAACTCATCTGCACTGCGAGCAGTAGGGTCTTCAGAGGAACAGGCAGTGCTGCCAGGGTTTTTAAATAGGGCCTAAGCTTTTGCAAGAGTGCCCTGCTCAACACTGAATTTTACCTCTTGTGCCTTTTCTTGGATGATCTCAAAGCACCAGGCAAACACTCATCAATTAGGCTACAACACTGAGAACTTTGGCAGAATTATTCCAGGTTTACTTCCATGCGACAGAGTGGAAATTAGCCCAACGTGCCCCAACTCGTCAGCATTCACATTTAGGAGCCAGTTCAAATATAATAATAATTAAATAAACCACACTACTGAATTTTGGCTCAGAACAAAAGCAAGCCCATAATTAATCAAGGGAATAGGGACGAGGCTGGGCTTGAGGTATTTTTGAGACCTGCATTTTTGAGACCTTTCCAAAATTTGGTGATCTGGATTCTGGCAAAGGAAACGCACACACTACAAATACCATATGAAAGGC